AGGGTGAGGTGTGCCTAGAAGCCACTCTGGGGTGGGCTGTTGGCGGGGAGGGCAAGAGGTGTCCTTTGGTAAACACAAAACCCCTTAGCAACAGGCTGGGCCCAGGAAGCAGAGGCAAGTCGGGGTGAGTTTGCCCCAAAGCCCTTTCTCCAACCAGGGCCTACTGTGTGCTACCTTGCACCTTCCCTCAGCCATTCTGCCCCCACCCCAAGGGGAGGGGAGAGAGGGCTATGCCAGGAAAGCGGCTGGCAGCAGGGCCCAAGGGGGAAAGGGCAGACAGCTACTGGGGTGGACAGAAGGGCCTGCTCCTGGGGTGGATGGGGGCCTCCTGGTCTCCCCACCTGCTACCCAGTCCCCCCTTCTCCCAGGTGGTACAGAGGCCAGCTGGCACAGAATACTTCCCTGGGCAGCCCTAGCCCAGGAGTGGGGAGCTAGGAATCGGTGTTTTCCCAAACAAATATGGGGAACCTCCTTGGTTCCAGCAGCTCCTCTTACCTCCATAAGCAAAGACAATCGTTTGAAGAAATGCCTGCCCAAGCCCCAGAACACACAGCTCCAGGACAGCTCTCTGGGCCGGAAGTGGAGGATGGGCTTCCAACTAGCGGGAAGGAATGACAAGAAGCTCACAAAGAATTCGGCCACTGTGGTCTGAGTCCTTGTCCCAGGGCCCAGGCCAATTCTCAGCTTCATGTTCACTGTTGTCTTGAGCCTCAATTTTGAGAGGTAGGGCCTGCCGTGACCTCATTTTACAGAGGAGGACACAAAGGGTCACTTGCTCAGCTGTGTCTGATGCAGGCAGGACTTGAACCTAAGCCCTTGTGGATGACTCCATGCTCTTAACCACAGGCGAGGAGATCTGCGTTCAGCTGAATCCAGATTCCCACGGCTATGAATTCCCAAGTACTGAGGCTGCAAGGGGCCCAGCAGGGCTAGCAGGGGTATCTAATTCATTGGCGGTAGGGAAGCAGGGGCTCGTGGTGCCCTTGCCAGAGGCAGCAGGCCTGTCCTGGGCAGTCTAGCTGGGAGCTCCCAGCTACACAAGTTCAAGTCCAAGAGAATGGTTATAGACCAACTGGCTCTTCTCCTATGTTGGAAGACCCTTCCCTCCCCTGCCCCTGGTGACCTGATAGCCTCAGACATGAGGGTTCAGGGCGATGAGGGTAGGCAGAGAGCAGAGAGAGGGGTAGGATGACCCTCAGGTCACCCACACAGCCTCCATGACCTTGGTGCTAGATGTTGAAGAATAGCAAGGGGTCCCCCAGTCCTGCCTTGTCCTAAAGTCTAAAGCCTTGGGGCGGTCTTTCACTTTTGATCCACCTTTGCACTCTATACCAAACTCCACTAGCCTTCCCACAACCCCTCTCAATGGCACAAACAATGATCTCCACTTTGCTGATGGAGAAACTGAGGCCCAGGGGTAGCTATGGTCACCCAGCAGCATCCTGCCTCCCAGCCTGTCCTGTCCACAGCCCTCTCAGCGTATCCTCTGAGACTCACCTGCCTGACTTCAGCCCTGGCGGCGGGGAGGGGGGGGCATTTTCTGAGGATAGCTGAGCTGTTATGAAGAGGCCCAGGGTCTCTGGGCAGGGAACAGGCTGGGAGGAGGCCACAGACCCTGGGCCCTTCCAGGACAGCCTCGGGAAGGTGCCTGGGGATCCTCCTAGGCAACTGGGCACTCCAGACCCCTACTCTCAGCTCGAGGAGAGAAAGGAGGCCAGAGCAGGGCAAGCCAAGCCAGAGGCTGGTCCTCCCCCAGAGGGGAGCTGCTCCTGGGCCCTCTGTTCTCATCCAGGTGCCGTTTCCCTGGGTTCTCAGAGACCTGCTGAGGTCCTGAGAGGGTTACACCTACGTGGCCAAGTGGCCAACATCCACACCTTCACGAGGCCCCTGGGATCCTGGAAGCAGTCCGATGTTAAAAGGTGTGTTTGGTGGGGAGCCTAAAGCTCATTTTGTTTTGTGGCCCACCTGGCTGGCTGATTCTACTGGGCCAGAAGGAGGGCTGACACGCCCTTGCTGGAGATGGAGGCTTGGGGCAGGGTCAGGAAGAGGAAGAAGCTGGGCCAGGGGCCACCTCCCCTCTCTGCTGTCTTCCTTCCAGTTACAGGGCTCGGGGTCTTAGTCCTGGCCAGCTGTCAAGAAGACAGGGGCCAGTGGGAGGGGACCAACAGGAGGGGCAGGGGCTCAGCAGTAATCACCAGCTCAGCCACCGGCAGCGGCAGGCAGCAAACCGCAAAGGGACTTGGGCAGGAGACTTAATTGCTCTTCCTCTTCAGTTCAATCAGGATAATTATAAACCTTTTCCAGTGCAGGTGTGCCCAGAAGCCAAGAGCAGCGGCAGATCCAGCACCTGGACTGGGGCGAGCCGCAGGCTGCCTGGGTTCCGGAACACAGGGAGCTGCGTGCTGCGACCCGGTTTCTTGTCCCACAGGGAAGCCTGGCTCCTGCCCAGCCAGGATGGAATGGATGATTTAGAAACGGTTCCAAGAGAATTTCATGCAGAGACTGAAGTTAAGACTCCGCCTCTCCCAGGGTTCGCCTGTGCCTCTCTGCTCCTTTCAGAACCTTCTCCCCTCTGCCCCATGCCACCTCTCGGTCTCCCCCAGTTTTCCCAGTATCTACCCTGACAGGCTGGCCTGGTGGAGCCCTCAGCAGCACTCAGAGGGGCTCACCTTGCATGCGAAGCAGGAACCTTTAATTTCGTTAACTTTTTAAGTCCCTTTGCCCCTGGGGCAGGTGTGAAATCCATTCAACTGCCCTCTGAGTCTCTCCCCAGGTTCCCCAAGGTCAGGACCCAATGGACCCCCCCAGGCCTGGCCTGAGTCAAAAACAGATGCTGCGGGTTCCAATGGCCTTGCTACTCTGAGGCTCAAGTGAGACAAGGGGCTGTGTGCTCTCTGAGTCCCCAAAGAGACTGGAGACTGACCACATGATGGAGATGAGACAGGAGGAGGCCTTTTTAGGAAAGTTACAACAACAATACAAACGAAAGCAAGAAAAGCCCTATTCAGCTACCCTGGGAAGCCCAGCTCCAGACTGAGGCAGACCCACATGGGCCCCAGTGCAGAGGGGGCACCTGCCAGAGTGGGTTGGGTCTTTACACACACCCCTACCTGGGACACAGGGGAAGGAAAGAGGTGGAAGGAGAAAGTGTGAGTGAGAGAGAGCAGCAGGGAAGATGAATGGGTTGCAGGGAGCAGGCCCCGGAGCAGAGGTGCCCCCTTTGTCTTGAGTGTGGTCCCTCTGGCAGACAGGGTCTGGGAACTCCCCTGTGGTGGCCCTGTGTTTCATGGGCTCTGAACCTCCTGCAGTGGTAGGGTGAGGGTCAGCCCAGAACCTGCAGCTCAAGGATCCTGTGGGCAGAGCCTTCCCCAGAGCAGGGACGGCAGTGTTGGACCTGCTTGTACCCAGCCAGCCTTAGAACAGCTGTCCACCCTGCAATGATGGTTCTTCCCTTGCCACTCTCCCCAGTGGTTGCCCCAAATTCATCAGTCCAGCTCAGCTGTATCTGACATTCAACCCCTCAGCCAAGCCCACATAGGCCAAGGAGCCCTCTCAGTGAATTTTCAGTACAATTCACTGCCCACTCACAGCCCAGCCAGAGACACACTAGCTCACTGTCTGCCCCCTGCTTATTCTCTAGTGCCCTCTTCTCCTCACACAGCTCTTCCTTATCCCGGGCAATGTCTGGCTTCACCAGCTTTTGGGGTCCTTGTCCCACTCAAGCTGGCTGCCCCTCACCCCATGTGCAGAGCAGGCCCAAGTCCCCAGAGACTTCCGGTCTACTATTTGTGCCAAGATTCCCCTGCTTTGATCTCTGGCTGGGCATATCCATGCCCCACCCCAGCAGTGAGCAACTGCAGCCGAGCCCAAGGGAAGTCTAGGTTCTGGGGAGCCCTTTGGGAGGCACACCCTTCCTCTCTCTGGCCTTTTCCACTTTTGGTTATCTGGAGGCTGAACTTCACCTTTCTTTCTTCTGGCTGCCAGCTGGTGGGTAAGGATGTGATATGTCTGCTCTGATGGGGATCGGACATGGGGTGCTTCACCCAGCCTCTCCAGTCGGCACCCAGATGTGTCCTCTGCCATGGGTTCCAGGCTCTTCCAGGGGTGATGTCAGTCATCATGTGACAGGTGCCATCTTCAGGTTCCTGAGGTCTGGGCCCCAGGAGTCCTGGCCAAAGGGGTCCAGTAAACAATCAGCTCCCTGAATGCAGGTCTTGTCCTATGGCCCTCAGTGTCCCAGGTATCTTGCACAGGCGCAACAGAGAACACCCAGGCTGGGCATTTATGGACACACACACTCCAAGGCTACCCCAAAGGAAATGGCAATATGACAGTAGGGCAGTCCTGTGACCCCAGTTGGAGGTAAATGACCTCCAGGCCTTGCTCACTCCAGTATCCCTGGCAATTGCCACTCCTACCCAGGTCCCCACTGAGTGGCTGCATTTCCACCTGTGGCCCCTCAGCTCCTCTAGGGCTCACTTAATGAACAAATGGAGTCTGCTTTACGACTGCAAGGCAAGCTAGCGTGTAGCAGCACTGCAGAACCCTTTGCCTCTCCCCAAACATTGCCCAGGGCTCCAGCACTCTCTCCAGGGGCCTCACAGGCTCCCACACTCTGGACCAGAGGTGATTCTCCAGGCTGATGCTTGGGGCAGCTCCACATCCTGCATTAGGCAAGCCGGGGCTGTATGGGCCTGCCGACCCCGTCACCTTCCCCAACTTCAGAGGTCCTGGTGGGAGATCTCTTCTTCTCCAGGGGTACCCGGGGCCTGACCCTAAACAGACAGAGGCTTTGTCTTCTGCATTTGTCTGTGTTTTCCACAGACATACTCACTGCAGCCTCCTGTTTGGCTGTGCTGTCCAGGCCATGTTTGTGGGCTGCAGCCACCTGCTTCACCTTCCTCATCTTCCCTGGGCACATATTATGAATGCTTTAACTTTGGGCACCACAGCCCCTCTCCTCGCCCTGGCAGCCCCCCACTCCATTCTGTGCCAACTACCTTCTCCCAATCCACCTCTTTCAACCTTGGTTCGATCTCAGGGTCTGCCTTCTGAGTCTCCACAGAGGTCACAGCCCCATTCTCCATGGAACCCTGGAAAGAGAACAGATGCAACGAAGTGATTACTTTACAGTGTGTGTGTGTGTGGATGAGGAGCTAAGCCTCACCCCCCACCCCCACTCCAGGAATGAGGAAGCCAAGGGGGGGACAAGCCCACGGGGTGGGGCAGGGTGGGTAGAAATCAAGGACACTGAACACTTTTGAAAAGAGACAGATACTGATGTGGGTGGCATTGTTCTCTGTACTTTTCTTCTCCCTTAAAAAAAGATTTCTGCCAAAACCAAAGTGGCAGAAAGATCTAGGCAGTGGCAGAAAGATCTAGGCGAGCCATGAAGCTGGGCGAGAGGGTATAGGAGCAGGAGAGCAGTTAGTGGGGATGTTCTGGGAAAGGAGTCCCTGCTGGTCTCAGCCCCTTCTGGCTGGTGCCAGGCAGAAGGAGTCACAGGGCAGCACCCAGGGCACCTGGCGGGGCTCACTGTGTCACACCCAGTGACTATGTGCCTGTCCACTCCCTGATTAATTCAATAGAGCCCCGGGGTCACAGGCTGGGGCCTCGACCTGCCAATAAGAAAGAAGCAGCGAGAAAGGGAGATGGTCCCTCCGACCATCCCATGTCTGGCTCAACAACCATACATGGGGCAGAACCGGCACAAGAGTACCCAAGTGGGCTCAAGGTTAAAGCAAACTGGCAAAGCGGTAAAGTCAGAAAGAAATGGAATGTGCTGGGAAAATCACACAGGCCGAGCTGCTCTGTCGTCACATGGGGTGAGGCCAGGGAGAGAAGGCCAGCACGTAAGTCAAACTCATGCTTCCCTGTACGAAGGGTGGGGAGAGTCCTCGCCAGTGGGGCCTGCCTACTGAGTACCTGTGTGACTCAGAAAACCCATGGTGCTGGGTGGCCATGGATGGGTCTTGGAAGCTGAGCTGAGGAAACTATGTGAGCAGCTATTTGGGATTTCTGTTGTTAAACTCTTAAGTTTTTGCTTCCAGATAAACCCAAGAGAAACTGATAGTGCAGTGACCAAATTGACATTTTCTGGGGAAAAAATATACACAATCCAAATAAAACCTGTCCATCCTGGGTGAGCCTATTGGTATTCGAAATATCAGTGGCATAGCCTCCAGCCTCACAGCAACACACAAGCCACTACAGTACGACAAACTAACAGACCAGTGGTAGAACAACAGAATGCGAAAATGACTGAACAATATTAATATCACATGCCAGTAAAATTTTGCTAAAGATAATTGAAAAACATTTGCCACAGAATACTGACAGAGAACTTCCAGAAATGCAAGCTGGATTCAGAAGAAGACTTGACACGAGGGATGTCACTGCTGATGTCAGATGGATCTTAGCTCAAAGCAGAGAGTAACAGAAAGATGTTTACCTGTGTTTTATTGACTATACAAAGACATCTGATTATGTGGATCACAACAAATTATGGATAACACTGCAAAGAATGGGAATTCCAGAACACTTGATTGTGCTCATGAGGAGCTGTACATAGACCAAGAGGCTGTTGTTCAAACAGAACAAGGGAATATGGCATGATTTAAAATCAGGAGGGGCTGTGTGTCAGGGTGGTTGTTAAGTTTGTTGTCAACTTGGCTGGGCTTGGTTGACTGGCTGGGCAGCTGGATGTAGTTATCCCCCATGGTGAGATCAGTAGTTAACTCCATGATGGAATCTATTGGAGATCTGCTTCCAGTATACAGAAAGCAGGGAAGGTCTCTAGCTTTTTGGCACGCTTGAACCCTATATGTAGCCAAGTTGTTGTTCAACAGCTTACCATGCCCTGCTGATCTTGGGACCTTTTCCTGGACTTGAATTTATGGCCTGCCATGTTGTTTGGTGATACCAGGACTGTGCCTTTTAACTTATTAACCTTGGGTTTGTCAGCCTCAGCAGCCAGCTGCTGTCTGAGAGAAGAAATGCCTCTAGCTTCAGTGGGCCAGGAGCAAAAGACAGAGCTGAAATCCAAGGTAAGGGGCTTTGACCCAGCCCCTAGAGGCTGGCACTTTGAACTTGGACATTTTCTGGGGAAAAAAAAACATACATAACCCAAACAAAGCATACATAACTTCTAGCCTCCAAAAACTGTAAGAATAAACTCCTGTTTGTTAAAGCCATCCCATTTGTGGTATTTCTGTTAGAGTGGCACTAGGTAACCAAAACACAGGGTTATGTCCTTTCACCATACTTATTCAATTTGTATGCTGAGCAAATAATCTGAGAAGCTGCATTATATGAAGAACAATGGCATCAGGATTAGAGGAGGATTCATCAACAATCTACAATATGCAGATGATACAGTCTTGCTTGCTGAAAGTGAAGAAGACTTGAAGCACTTACAGATGAAGATCACAGACTACAGTCATCAGTATGGATTAGGCTTCAACATAAAGCAAACAAAGATCTGCACAACTGGACCAACAAGCAACATCACAATAAATGGAGAAAAGATTGAAGTTGTCAAACCTTTCATTTTACTTAGATCCACAATCAACACCCACGGAAGCAGCAGTCAAGCAATCAGATGTCGTATTACACTGGGCAAATCTGCTGCAAAAGACTTTCAAGTATTAAAAAGCCAAGATGTCACTTTGAGGATTAGAGAGTAGCTGACCTAAGCCATGGTATTTTCAATTACTTCATATGCATGTGGAAGCTGGGTGCTAAATAAGGTAGACCAATGAGGAATTGATACATTTGAATTATGGTGTTGCTGACAAATATTGAATATACCATGGACTGCCAGAAGAACAGCCAAACCTGTGTTGTAAGAAGTACAGCCAGAGTGCTCCTTGGAAGCGAGGATGGTGAGATTTCGTTTCACACACTTTGAACACGTTATCAGAAGTGACCACTCCCTGGAGAAGGGTATCATGCTTGGTAAAGTAGAGGGTCACTGAGAAGGAGAAAAGGGGCCCCCCAGTGAAATGGATTGCCATTGTGTCTGCAACAGTGTGTTCAGACATGGCAACAGCTGTTAAGATGGCGCAGGACCAGCAGTGTTTCGTTCTGATGGCGGCTAACAAGAGCCACCCCCCGTTACTCTCTTGGATTAACTCCAATTTTTCCCTCTAGCCAAAGGAATGACTTGCCATGTCCAATCATACCTTGCGTTTTCCTGCTCAAATGTTATCCTGTCCAGGATGGTGACAGAGGTTACTATTTCATGAATCCTAATTCTGTGCCCATTAACTTTCAATCCTCCTGACAATCGTATGAGGTAGTCACTTGACAAATGGGAGAACCAAGGAATGGAGCAGTCCCCCAGCTGCGGAGGGATGAAGTCAGGACCTGAATCTAGCAGCTGGACTCCAGAACATTCACTTCACCATCGAGCTCCTCTTCCCAAACCATTCGAGCCAGAAATGATTTCTTCATTTCAGACTTTTGTAAAATCAGGCTTTCTATGTGTCCCACTGCCTCAGATGGAATTACCTGCCTCTTATTTTCACAAGTTTGGGCAATTATCTTAATTGTCCAATGGTATTATAGATTCTATTAAGGCAAGACATTATGGACTCCTATTTCCTGTTTTCCATGGTGCCTGGCAAGGGCTCTTGCCAATACTGCCTCAGTAGACCACATTTCTTCACAAAGTAGCCAAGGCCCACAGCCACAGTGTGGTGGTGGTATGGTTGGTCACTGAGGACAGAACCCTGAAACTCAGCAGGGCTCATGCTCTTTGGAAGTAGGAAATAGATGTGGTAGGCACATATGCTTAGCACCTGGTGTAAGAGTAAACATAGCCCTCTGACTGAGAGGGGTGGCCCAGGACACCAAATATGCCACCTCAAAATGGCATTCTGAGCTGGATAGGACATGCCCAGCTATGAGGGTCAAAATTCGAACAGTCTCACCATAGAGCCCAGTGTTCTTTGGACAAGTACACAAGACATACACAAGCAAAACTAAAAGTACACAGATATTACTATCGGATTGCCAACATTTTATTTTGCCTAAGAAAGATATTTTTAAAAAATTACCATCATGATAGATTTTTCTTTGATATCTAGAGGCAGAAAGATGTATTATTTGTATAGCTTCATTTATTTCATGATAATTTTCAATAAAAACCAAAAACAAACCCACTGCCATCGAGTTGGATCCGACTCATAGCGACTCCTCCTTGGGTTTCTGAGGCAGTATCACTACGGAAGTAGATTGCCTAACCTTCCTTCTGAGGAGTGGCTGGTGGGTTTGAACCGTCAGCCTTCTGGTTAGCAGTCAGATGCCTAAGGCACTACACCACCAATAGATGGTAATTAAATTACACCATTTTTATTACATAAAATACAGGAAAAATGAAATAAAAATAATCATTGCATCTAAAAATGCATATATATATATATATATATATATATATATAATCATCAGCATCACTTAATAAAAGAAAGGAACATTTAATGCCAAATATGAAGGGAATACGTGATTTCAGAATAAAGGCACTTCTTCCCAATGAAAGCCAGTTGGCAAATTTATACTGGCATTTAAAGAAGCTAGATTTTATTTAAAAATATTTATTCATGTAGAAAAATTATAACATACAGCTATGTTTTATAAGCAAGAATTGTGCATAACTACTTTCTTGGTTCAAGTTTGTTGATATGGGGCTCTATAACTGACATGCAACAGGAAATTGATCAAATATTCACTTGATCTAAGATTTCATTTCAAAAATTACTAGAAATCCAGTTTCACAGAGATATGTTGGCTGAAAATGGAAAGCACACTCCCAAATCTTTTTCATTAACTTGAAATATTCTGGGTACAATGAGGGAAGTAGAAGAGTATGGCTTATGTGGCCAGCATGGAACAGTTAGGAATTCTCCCAAGAAGGTTCTCTTGGATCATGAACTAGTTTCATTTTGAGAACTAACACTGGGCACCACTCCCCATGGAGGATGCTGAGAAGGGGGACAGAGGGGAAGGGAAAGAGGAAGAGAAAGAACTTTCCTTTTAACACAAGTCCAAAGATGCCTCAAGAAGTTACAATTTCCTTCTCCCCCTTCTTCCTTTT